ACCCTCGGGTACATCAGCCTCTTCTTCCTCCCTCCTCACCCCGAAACAAGGGACAAGATTAGGCACCAGAGGAAAGACGCATCAGTTTCTACATCTGAAACAGCAGGAGTCAAAAAGAGAAATGGTTTAGAAACCTGCTTCCTATTCTGGAACCAGAGTCATAAGCACAAAACTCCTTCCTGTACTATATTATTTCACAGCAGTTGTCCCTATTTCCCATAATAAAACTGAGCTGAATAAATATAGCCAAAATGATGAAGTATATTAAAATGTGTTGACATCATACTTACATGATGAGTTAGAATGTATTAACAAACACTAAAAATAGGTCACTGCTTTGCAAGATAACTGGCATGCAAGTGTTACGTTACATTTATTGTATGCATTCTTCTCCCAAATATGGCATGTTGTCTATAGCTTACTCACATACAGAAACACATTAAAGGTGCAATTTCATACATTAAGCTAAGAGAAGATAACTTTAAAAGTCTTTAAAGTATCAGAACTTTTAACAAGCTAACATTTATTCAATACAATAATGCTTTGCAGAAGGACAGAGGGTAAGGAAATGAGTTAGTATGTCTAGACATTAATAAAAAGCTACAGAAGTGGAGTCAGCCTACACGTCCAGACAATCTCCTATTATTAGACAGATAGGAATATTGATCTACACACTTTGCAGCACTCCCGATTTTGGCACTGCAAGATAAGCATGACTGTTCCTTAACAAGATATATCTTATCTAATTAGCTCCTTGTAATTTACTTGTTTTATACACAAGAGAAAAAAGTTACAGATGCACATTTATATTTTACTTGGAAAAGGCACACTTAGGAGGTTAATATTTATTTTAAAGTTTAAGTTTATGCAGGCACTAAAGATTTAAATCTATTTACAAAAATTATTATATTTTAATTTTTTTTAAATGCACATTCAGGTAAGAACTCAGTCAAAACTAGGATTTCATGCATTCAATCTTCAAAAATCATTTCCTTTAAATCTTTTTACCCTACAACAGTATCTGGAGCAGAGTTCAGTGAACAGAATACCTGCCCTTTATTAGGTTGGTTTTTTTTCCTCTTTTTCAACAAAATTCAAACTGCTAGTTTAAGACAGAACATGCACTGAAGTGACATAAAAAACATGCTTCAAAACCAGTTAAATAATCCAGAAGTCTAACCTTTCAAAAGCTTTGTTTCTTCCACTTTGGTTAGATGTCCTTCATCTATGATCTTGTCTGCCAAACAAAATAAGTGTTACTTTCCAAGATCAAATTAAGGAAGCTTTTCGCTGCACACATCTACGTAGACTACATTCCATGACCAAATTAAAAGCTGATAATATTACTTCCTACTCAGGCTTGAACAAAAACTTTATTCTGGCACAGAATAATGGAACAGAGCACACAAGCCTACTGGAACTTTGTGATAAAGTGCATAATTATTTCTTCTGTAATATATTAGCTCACATTATTAATGCTTCAGTTCACTAATGAGAACTTAGGAAAATTAATTTTTATGAACTTTAAAAAAAAATATCTAACTGGGAGCATTAAATAATTAATACATTTCTCAAGTTATAGTTATCAAAAAAGGAATTCTAAGAGTTAGTGGCTGAAATAGATAACCACCCGATACAGCAGAAATCTAGAAATACACCACGGTAAAACAGCAAATGAGAAGCCACCTCCACATCGCAACTGCTTTATCAGTGCCTATGAAAGAAACGCAGAAACAGTCCTTCTTCTAAAGAGTTGCATCACATTCGGGTTCATAAAAATTGAGTTTACATATAGTATTGACAGAGAAGTCTACTCACATATGTCAGGTGCATAAAAGCCTAAAACAGGGAATTTTGACTAGATTGCTAACTTAATCTTAACTCCAGCTAGGACACGAATGCAAACAGCAAGACCAAGGGAAGTAAAGGTTTGTATTGATCAAAGACACTAAAAGAGCTATTGAATCAGTAATTAGTATCTTTTTCAGAGGAGATGTGATTATTTCAAACTCCTTAACAACTGGATATTGACCCCAACATGAAAGATTATAGAGGGTCACATATCTTACAGATCACATCATCAATTTCTATGCAGTAGATCTTGCAATTCAGCCCACGCTGAGAGGGGTACACCACCAAACCGCCCGCTGAAGCTCTCCCAGCCCCAGCCCTGGCCACCAGGCAGGGACCCAGCCTGCTGGGTACCCCATGGGCTGTACGCTGGGAAGGGAGACACAGAAGACTCAAGGAACAGCACGTACAGGAGAGTTCAGATTAAGGAAGCTGGATGACAGTAAATTCTTTTCAAATTTTTAATTTAAAAAAATAATTTAAAAAAAAAGTGAGCTTTAGGCAGCATTTCCAGCTTCAAGTAGCTCTGACGACTCTGAAGTCTCTGTACTCCTCTGATAGCAGGTTGCTGTAACCGTAACAATTTAAGGACAGAGGCAGGGCAACATTTGCATGGAGATATCTTTTTCAACTCTAGTTGAGAAGTTTCCAGATTAAAAAAAAAAACCACCAAGATCTGAAGAAAGGTTTACGTGGCCAAAAGCCTGCCCTGTCCCCTTCCCACAGCCAGACAAACCAGTCTGAAACAGATAGTCACTCCATCTACAAATACCATCCTGCATTCCTATAACATTTGTCAAATACTGCTTCAGAAATACACTGAATGGCACACTGGATTTTCAGGATTGGCTTCATGTCTCAAGCAACTGTAGGAGATTACTCATCATCCAAGTTCAGAGCAATCTCAAGTTCGTCAGAGCTGGAGAGAGTCCCTGTGCCTGGACTGAGGAAGGCACCAGAGGGAATCAGGTTACTGCAGCCACAAGTTACTGAGTGACACCAGGAGCCCTATTCCATTAAATAATTTTAAAAAGAAATATCTAAACAAAAGTCTTCATGTATGATTATTGCAGGACTCAGCTGAGGCTGGAAGGGAGGTGGGGAGGAAGGCAGCAAGAAAGCAGGTGAGGAATTCTGCCCTTACGTCTGAAAAATTAGCTGAATGCAAAAACCATACACTCCAAGTAGCTATCAGCTGCTTGATCTGAAGGGGTAATTACGTCTGAAAAATTAGCTGAATGCAAAAACCATACACTCCAAGTAGCTATCAGTAGCACCTCACCTATGCCGGACTGCTAGCTTAAAATAGGCTTCTATAATCAGTTTACGGAAGAAAACTTAGCATTGGGAATTGACGGATCTTGGAGTTTCCACAATTCAGCAACTGTTAAAACCAGAATAATTATAGCACAAAACAAAGAATCCAGTCTTCTTGACCCAAATGTTTTTCCAAACTGAAACCTTTGCAGCGGCTCTTTACACTTGTAGGAATTCTCAATTCCTATGAGTAAAAAGTAGAGCAGACTTAATTTTTCTTTTCTTTTCCATGGTGGTTTACTATTTTCTAACCTTCGTTATGAATTTCAACATTTGAACAGAAGTATTCTCCTTGATGCTGTTTCTCCAGCAAAGAACCTCAGCAATAACACACAAGTCCCCTCGCCCAGCGTGACCCAGAGCTGGTACAGCCAGAACTTTTCACGTGGTGGCTGACATCCCTTCTAACTTGCCAAACAAGTAAGCATTCTCTGTGTTTTAAGAATGCTAGCATTTGTATATTTCAAAGCCAACAAAAAAATAGTTTATTTCTGCACGCCTGTGTCTATTTAGATAATAAAGAGAAAAGTAGATTTTGATGTCATTAAAGGACACAGAATCTTAGTCTGCGGTCTGTTACCACCCGAGTTGCTAAAAACTTCAGAATCCAGACAACAATCAAAGTAAAAGCAGAAAACCTCATTAACTTGATATTTTTTTTTTGTTTAAATTTAAATGAAGCCACATATTCCCTGAATCAAGATGTGCATTTTTGGCTATATATAAATTAGGGTTAGGATCCTAGCTTTAATTTCTGGCACAAATAATTTTTGTCTTTTGTGTTATCCAGTCACTAGTTAACAGAAACCAAAGAGTTACTGAGACATATCATAAATAATAGTAATTTTAACTGATACAATCTGCTTTGAAGTTAAGCCTTCAGTTCATCTTTAAAATAATCTATGTTTCTTTTTGCTGATGAATGCAGTTCAGAGGCCACTCTCCTTTAGGTCTTTAGGCCTTTCCTATTTTTTCAATTTAAGAACTCCCTTTTAGATTTAGGTTGCCTATCACTATGTGTAATGTAATAGTTAAGATCTGTTAACATTACAATGTTTACTGAAGTAACATGCCTCCAACACATTTATGTTTTAGTATCAGATTAAGTCTTTGAAGGAGGCCAGTTTTGAAGACCAATGAAAGGAAGCCTGGCCCTCAACACACAAATTTCAAACCATCTGAAAAAAAAGCGATACTGAGAAGCTTTAACTTTACGTGCCATCTGCAAGTCATAATTCATGGAAAAGTTGAAAATAGCCATTCAATCCATCCAAAAAAACTACATCATTTTAGATAGATAAATTTTAAAAAAAACAACAAAACAACCCAAACCACAACACAAAAACACAATAAAAAAAACACTTAATAAAAAAGAAAAAAAATTGACCTGTATTTAATTCATAAAAAATTTTTCCTCATCACTGAGGAAAAAAAGTAAGGACACAGAGAAGAGTTAGAAATCTCTCTTTTGTCTATACATCATCACCAGTTTTGGTAATAACTCATATCATGTACTGATCAGAAAGAAGCATCATGACTTCTGCTGTTGATGTCACTGGATTTCACCAGTGGTTACTAAGAAAAAAAAAAAGGTTATGAAATGAGCAACAAGTGAACTGGATGTAATGATCAGAAAGTAACAGACTTCCCAGATCATTCAGAGCAAGATTTATTAACATTCAAATTATAGATCAAGACAGGTTACTGGACAATAGCGTGAGCTGTAGTCTGCTTAAAAAAATAAAAATAAATAAAAAATATCTTTAAAAACCTACAGAAGCCAGATTTTAGAAACAATGCTAACCAAGTTAAGCACTTGCAATGCAGCTTGAATAAGATTTTAGTGTCCTGTTTCTTCTCCTCCACCAAAAAATTGTTGCTTTAGTATCTTGAGGAGTCTTGATTACTCTTAACTGATAAGCGCTTTCAATTGCCCCATATCTCTGTAGCAGCTCTGTGTAGATTGTTTAACCATCTAACTTTCCTTCTTGTGCTATCTTACATACTTCCACTTCATTGACTCAAGCTGTTTTTCCTCATTTCTCTGCTTGTGCTTTCCCAATTTCAATGCTTCTTCCCCAGAGAGTCACACTTTCCCCACTGATCCAGCAACAAGTCAGAACCTTCTCTTCCAGCCAAACCGCCATGGTTGTCTCAATTCTCCTTCCTTTCTAGATTTCTCTTATGGTTTCCGCTGCTTGTATTACAAAACAGCAAACCCTACATAACACAACTTCAATGGGCAACTCCCAATTTTCTGTGACTTTTGTTGTATTATCATTTTTTCAATAATAAACCTGCTCCTTTCCCAGTAACTAAACCTCTATCTGATACTGTGATAGCATAGTATCATATGAGGAACTATACATTCCTTCTCAGTACCTCCAATCTTTATGAATATTCATCTACACTTAACTGTTTGCTGCGTTATACTACAAAGGAGCACTTTTCTCTCCATCCTAATGATATTTTTCTCTCAGTGGACAAAAACACCTTAAGTTTTTCCTTAATTTTAGATATGCAAACTGCACTGTTTTATTACTCATTTTCGAAAGCCATTTGCTTTGAAAACATGTTTCTCATTCCAGAATAACACATCTTTCTAAAGATTAGAATTGCATATTTATGTTTTATTTTTATTAAAAGAACCTCTTAGGTTTTCACATAAAAATTAAGGTATTGTTTTCCTTTTTGTTCTTTGTAACAACCAATTTGAAGAATGTGTAAGACCTTTAATTATCAGATAAATTATAGATATGAGAAATGAAGAAAAGGCATCACTACCTTATCCCTGTCCTACTGCTGCCTGTGATGTTTGCTTAAACGGACAGTGTTAGGCTTTCAACTCTTTACTCTGTGACAGGTGAAAAAAATACCCTCAGTTTAAACATCACATGGCAACATCACCACCCTTTTATCAGTCGGAGAACAACAATGGATTAACTGCTAAGAAGAGACAACATGATCATCACTTTGCAAGAGCAAAGATATCCTCTTTCTACTACAGGCACCTGCTTAACATCACAATGCCACAATTCTGTGCTTATAAAATTTCTGCTACCACAGAAATATTAAACAGTAGTGACAATTTTTGGGTTTTATCCACCTCTTCTGGGTTTTCTGGTTTTTTTAAAGTGAATGTGATGAACACTCTTGTACTCACTCTGACATTCTATGAACTGATGAATAAAAGTGCAGTCCCCTCCACTCTTTGAAAGAAAGTGCTCTAGTAAAGAAAGAAACACTTAAGTTTACATCTTCTTATCACTTTCAAATTAATGCAACAGAAAATTTGAAAGGTATATTAACAGTACTTGTAATTGTGCATTTACAGTGAACTTTTCAATTCTGAGTTAATATGCAAGCAGACAAGACATAATTGAAATGATGTCTGAGTGATATTAGAAAATGGATTACTCTCTTGAACTGATCAGAAGAAAGAAGTACTTTAACTGCATTTTCAAAGGGTACTTTTAAATACTAAAATCTAACAGCCGTTCTTAAGCATAATAAAGAGCCCCTTATATCAATAGAAGGTGTTTTAAAAATCACCAACTTTATTTAACCAAATTTAGTAAGAAACAATTATTAAAAGCCCCAACATTCTGCATTTGGCATTTGCTGTATTGCTCTTTCAGGTCAGGTGGTGACAAATGATTTCCACTTAATTTCCATTGATAATTTCATATTTTTCACAAAAACATTAATGCACATAAGTGATATTTAAATCACAATAAATTTAGAATACTTTAATTGATACATTGCTGAAACATGCAACTCCATAGTGCTGATGCCTCTAGTTCCTCCAATTTTTTAATTCATAATCAGACACAGATAATTGCAAGTACCAAATAAAAGCATTGAAGAAATAAAAAACATGTATTCAACCTATATTCTTCAGCATTTTTATTAGCTTTAAAAGGGCATTTACTAAGTTTTTCTTTAGTCTTCATGTTTATTTTTCATATCCAATACCCTCTTGAAATGAAAAACATTTCTTTTAAAAGTGTTGCTGAATATCTCCCTTTACTTTTTTAAACGAAGTTCCACTCAACAGAAACAACAATTTTTGAAAGGACAGTTCTACAGTAGAGATCCTAAATCTGGGCTCAATACCCCAGTTTACCCCAGTCCTTCAATGTGACCTTGTCCAGCTCCCAACTCCATCAGAATCTTGCACCTCTTCAAGTAAAAAGGTGCTAACACTTCCTTTCTAAAGCACCTCAAAAATCCTTTGACCTCAAGAACCTAGCAATCTGAAAAGACTGCTTTTTAGTACACAAACCAGCACTGTGGCTATAACATTTATTTTCCTTATTTAAACTTTTCTCTTTTTTTGCCTTTTACATGATCCTCTTGTGACTGTATACAAGATTACGTATCTTTCGTAATATATGACTTCCAAAACTTCAATATGAAAGCCATGCGTGGTACAACTTGCTGAGAAACGTACCACCTACAGAAATAACTCAGTTTTACACCCTTATCAGGGGCTTGATGTACAAGCAAGTTTTTCTCTTCTGCACCAGAATTTCTGTATGTGCAATGAGAGAAAATGAACACCTAACCCTCATCTTAATACACTTATACACTATATATATACTTAATACACTATAAAAAGACTCTAGAGAGACTGTAACATGAGTTCTTAGTTCCTCTACTCAGACTACAGCTCTTACAATGTTATGGACATCTATGGGAAAAAAATAAATGTAAAATTAGTATTCTTGCAACAGCTAGGTAGCATGCTTATAAACACACCTTGAGGACTTGATCTGAAGTTTTGTGAGACAGAGAAAAAGGAATCTTAAAATGCATACTGATTTTTCATGCTTTTACTACCATTTCCCTCTGATTGTTGAAGGTGGGGTGGCATATATACGTTTGTATACAGATAGAGGTGACTTTTTAAAATTGCTTTACAGGCTACTTAGCACAAACCCCAAAATTCTGAATTTCTGACTTCTGCCTTCAACTGTGAAGTCTTTCCCTTATGCAAAATATCTACAATCTCTTTCACTGCCAGCGTTGCTGAATCTACAGTATAATCTCTATATTCTTAGCTCTTCTAAAATAATATTATACATCTACAGTATAATCTCTATATTCTTAGCTCTTCTAAAATAACACAAGACTACTCAGCAAAAAACACAGTAGCTGCCTCCTGCTGCTTTCAAGAGAACAAAATCCAAAATCTGGCAGAACAAATCGCTGCCCATCTGTCGTTATAGGAGGGCTAGATAAAGGATGACAAGACACAGAAAGGCACGGACTGTCATAAAAAGAACATGGCCCAGCAAGCTCTAAAATGCCAGAGAAATGTGAATGGACCAGGTATAGCAGAGATGCAGAGTAATGTTGTACAACAGACAGAACAAGGGAAAACATGGAAAACTATGCTAAAATATAGAATAATAAAATAGCATGGTAGAGGCATGACAGAAAAAGGTGATAGACTGTATAAACACACAGAAAGACAACTTGAATGAGGAGTTACATCTTGTCTATATTCATAACAAAAAGAAACTGGCGGGTTTACGCACAAGTTCTACTGCTACTTACACGGTAGAGGAATCTATATTTTCATGCATCCATTCAGGTGACATTTTTACTCTTATGCAATCCAAAATAACTCAAAAAGGGATTGCATCAACTTTGACAAAAAAGTGAATATCCATGATACAACAATATTTGTTGTAATCCTATAATAATGAATTATAATTATAAAATTTCAGACAGTTTTTAAACTGACATTGAAAGAGGTAGCAGTATTTCAAAAACTAATTAAGACACTACTGCCAACAACTTCAAAACAAACAAAAAAGTGTTTGTTTAAAAAAATTAACATATTTAGTGTGATGTTATCAATTATTTCTCTAAAACAATATGTATTGGCGCTTGAAGCTTGAAACCTTTCACGAAATGTTTCAGTTTAACTCTAGGCTACGTTCGTTCCCAGTATTGCATGTTTTTCTAAAACCTCCAACAACTTAACTTTCAAAGTCTTTTTATGGTTTACATGATTAGAACGAAGAATGACAATCCCTATATAATACCCCAGTTTTGCTCTGTATACAAGTTGATTCTTTTCTGGGGTGGATGGTTTTAAAAAAAAGAAAACCAAATTTTTTTCTTAACCATTCTATCAAGGATTAAGATTATTACCAACCTAAAATTACGCATCAACAAGATGGATAATACTTAAAAAGAAAGTATGGCAGTCCAGAGAACTGGGAACAGATACATTAAGTCTCCTGCTTGCTAATTTCAGCGTGCATCATAACTAAGTGCCTAAAATGCCAAGATATTAAGGGATAACTAGTACTTAGATTAAGGGAAAGTTTTTGTACAGCTCCTCTCCTCCTGCTCCAAATAAGAAACAGACATGAGGTTATGCTATGATCAACTTAATTTTGCTATTAGTCTCCCTAGTTAAAGAAGTTCTTCAATTATAAAAAAAAAAAAGGTAAAAAAAGTCAGAATTAGAGCATATAGAGTTCTAAAATTTTGTTTTTAAAATGTATATGGTAATCCTCAAACACTGTGAATATTACTTAAAATCCGCAAGTTCTCTTAAGTGCCTCAACCCTCCATTAATACTACCACCATTCCTCAGAGCTTTCACTATCTAGCAATACACAGCAAATGCTGAAGAAAGCTACATCAAGGAAAAATTTAAAATTAACAGAAGAGGACAAGTATATCTTAGCCAATGGAACAATTTAGTGAATGTAAAATTGTAACAGGAATAATCTTTGTTATATGTGATATTGAGCATAGTCTTATCAGACAATTTTATTTAAAACACTTAAAGTGAATGTTAAGACATATTAGTTAAAACACTTAGCTTTAACTAATTGGTCTTTAAAGAAATTCCACCAGTTAGTTCAATCTGTATTCATTCCTGTTTTACATAAAAACATTCCTGAATTTAAAAAGTTAGTTTCCTCTATTTATATATTTAATGTACTCACATTTTTCATATGTTATAATTAGGAAAAAATATGTTTTGCTGACTTTACTTACCATACCAAATTTACTAGAAAAACGGTATATGTCTGTGTTTTGGGAAAATAAAATTAAAAGGAAAAACGTCAATGAGTTTTCCACTTTCTTGTATCACAAGCCTGACATCATTTGGTAGACTCCTACTGGTTCCAGTGA